GAAAATGCCCCAGTTCTTCCATGGCCTGCATATTCACCAGACATGTCACCCATTGAGCATGTTTGGGATGCTCTGGATCGACGTGTACGACAGCGTGTTCCAGTTCCTGCCAAAGTCCAGCAACTTCGCACAGCTATTGAAGAGGAGTGGAACAACATTCCACAAGACACAATCAACAGCCTGATCAACTCTATGCGAAGGAGATGTCACGCTGCATGAGGCAAATGGTGGTCACACCAGATACTGACTGGTTTTCTGATCCACGCCCCTACTTTTTTTTAAAGGTATCTGTGACCAACAGATGCATATCTTTATTCCCAGTCATGTGAAATCAATAGATTAGGGCCTAATTATTTATTTCAATTGACTGATTTCCTTATATGAACTGTAACTCAGTAAAATTGTTGAAATTGTTGAATGTTGCATTCATATTTTTGTACAGTGTAAAAGGGAAAACCCAACCTCAAAGTTAAACTGAACAGCGCCCACAAAGAATCATACAAACAATTTCAGGATAAAGACAAGGTGAGACAGCCACCAGCTATTAGTAGCTGCACGTAAATGGCAATGTTAGGACAATCAACTTTAGCAGTTTGAATCAAAAGAGCAGAAACATGGCAACCTAATTCAAACGAGTAAAAAAAAAGAGAAGAAGCACTGGTTAATATATTGATTCAGTCTGGCAAGTCCATGAGACTGTACGATGAGCCAGCCTTCAGAAAGTTCAACCAAACACTTGATGCCAAATTTAGAACTCCCGGCGCTGCTAGAGTAAACGTGTTGATTGCTTTGTAAATGGATACAGTAACCCAGAAGGTTAAGGAGATTCTGAAAGAGGCATGGAAAATAACCCTGGGTGTAGACAGATGGATGAAGAAAGGATTGACTGCTTTGTTTATGTATCACCCTTCTTCCAAGAAGGCATAGCATGTGTTGCTCAAGCTCCATCAGATTTAGCATTAACACACCAGAGAGGTAATTGACTGCACATTGGAAGCATGGGACATACCATAGGAGAAGATCCTACTCGTCGTAACTGACAACGGGGCGAACATAGTCAAGACTATCAAGCTATTACAGAACAGGCAAGAGAATACCCGTGACCAACAACAACCAGAGATGGCCATAGCTTTGAACGGTGCGGCAGAAATGTCAGACACCGGTAATTATCCTTTTAAATCCAAGTCACATTAAGATTGATTTATAACTTAAACATAACCAAACCTATGACCTGACCCATCACCTTATGTATTACTGCCCCCCAGTGGCAAGAAGTAACATCCCAAAATAACACAAACTATAGGCCTACAACACATAAATGGCTCCTAGCCTCCCACACATAGGCTACTTTCGGTCACTAACACTAAAACTAAAACTGAAACGAAATAGAAATGATTTGATAAAATTCTAACAAAAAAAATCGAACTAAATAAAAATGAGTAAATTAAGTCTGAAAACTAACTGAAATAAAACTGAATTTCAAATAAAAATCTAAAAACAACTAGAAATGAAAAACTAAGAGAAAATCAAAAACGATAAACTTGGTAGGCTACTTCTCAATTTCTTTGTTGTTTGGAGTACATGCAGCCGTGCTTGCTTGTCCAATCGACTTTTCTTCACTGGTGGTGGTGACTCACTGTGTGGGACAACCTGTGTTGTGTTGGTGAACTTTGTGTCCAGATCATTGATATCTGCAGTAAGAGCAGCCTTCTTAGTGGCATTGCACCATGCCAGTTTAAAGTGTGGATCCAAGACTGAGGCAATCTGGTATGGCTTTTTCTGCTCATAAACAGTCAGGCGCTTCTCAACTGCTTCTTTCAGGTTTTTGACAAGCTTTTGATTGAACCTGGTAGAGTAATTGGTGAGATGTTTAGTAAGTCCTCTGATGCATGGAATGATGTAGCTGGCTATGACAATTCCGGATCTTTGCGCACGCAATCTGTAGCAACCTCAAAGGGGGTTAGGATGTCCACAGCATAAGCGAGTACATACTTCTCATGCATGGATAGCTTGGTGACAGGCAGTGTGTCAAGATTGTCTTCATCCGCATTGAGAACTGATGTAATAATTTTCATTTGAGAGTTCCACCTTGTTGTGACAGTAGCTGGTTGCAGCAGTTTCGCAAGGACCCCCCCATGGGGAAGAGAGAAAAATGTGCAATTTTATAGCTAATCTCATGCTTTTTTACACATTTTGCCATGAGGCTTAGAGAATATGTCTTATTAATATTAACAAAATATGAAATGTGTGTTTTTATAGATCAAAGTATCAGCTGTCACACCATGTAAATTAACAACAATATCCATTATTGCCAGAATTTCAAACACTTTTTTGGAGAGTTTGAACTTGGGATACTTTGCTCCGAACAAGGGCATTTCCAGGCATAGACCCGACATGGAAATTAATAATATTGAAAGTATTTTGAAAATTCAAAAAACTAATATTTTCCTTAGAAAATTCCCCAAAATGTAAATTTTAAGCTAAAATAATGCTACAAAATTCATTTTTTTCTAACTATAACAATAAAGTTTCCCTGCTGGACAAGGACTATCCCCACTTTTAAGATTTCCTGAGCTAATTTCCTGCTATTCTACACATTTTGCCATGAGAAAGTGTTGTAGTTTTAAGAAACGTTGCTTTTTTCTTTTGGGGGTTTGTGGCCCCCAAAGCTCGTGGGCCCCCTAGCCTTGCGGTGACACAATGTTGGAGGCTTTGGAAATGTCTTTGTTGAGGTTATCTGCCATCTTTTATGGTGAGCTGCAGTGTGTGAGCAAAGCATCTCTCATGCTGTGTAAAGTGAAATTCATCAAGGTCAGTGGAACTTACAGGTTGCAGACCTTCCTCCTCAGTATACATTTAACATTTTAGTCATTTAGCAGACGCTCTTATCCAGAGCGACTTACAGGAGCAATTAGGGTTAAGGGCCTTGCTCAAGGGCACATCGACAGATTTTTCACCTAGTCAGCTCGGGGATTAGAACAAGCGACCTTTCAGTTCCTGGCACAATGCTCTTAACCACTAAGCTACCTGCCGCCCTTCTTCGGAGGAAGGCAGCAACCATGTATTCATAGAATTAGGGGGGGTGGGGGGAGGGGAGGAGGGGGGGTGAAACTGGCCACCATCTTGGTTCTATATACATCACAGTGCATTATGTTATTGCTAATCAGAGATAAATGGGTTTGATTCAGTGTTGTGGAGACATGAAACTGGGAAGATGCTACAAGGCCTGGTCTGAGAGGGGAGATTGTCTGGCAGTAAATGAGTGAGGACAGAGGAGTGAGGGGGTGTACGGTATATGGTATGTAAATCTGTGAAATCAGTGATAATTACTGTAAGCACACAAAAAGCCACATCTCAGCTGGCAGTGACGGTGCTAATCACCCTAACACAGTCTAAACCCAGACACCGAGAGTGTGTGTTTGTGTGTGCATGTGTGTGACACAGAGCAGGTTATGACTTAAAGGCTAGAGATCTGAGTGTGTTTGGCAGCCATGAGGATATATTCCACTTCTAGAAGGTAAACAGTAATGTTATTACTCTCTCATTAGCAATGACCATGATCTTGTGGTCCTCTGTAGCTCAATTGGTAGAGCATGGCGCTTGTAATGCCAGGGTAGTGGGTTCGGTCCCCGGGACCACCCATACGTAAAAATGTATGCACACATGACTGTAAGTCTCTTTGGATAAAAGCGTCTGCTAAATGGCATATTATTATCTCACATGTTGTCACAGGGCCATCAGATCTCCCTAACAGGGTTTGAGGTCAATTCAGTTTTAATTAGTCAATTCAGCAAGTGAAAAATCCTGATAGAAATTTTTTTGAACTTTTACTTCCTTGACTGACCCGAACTCCTGCTCCTTTAAACCTCTAAATTGTCTTGGTTGGGATGTGCACTTGTTAAAATACACTGTTTTTCTCTATCACTATAACACCTTCCTTCACCACCTGTTTACAGTATTTCTGTGCAGTGGTGTGGGCTTTTTTTGTAATGACACCATTGTTAAATTATTGGCTGTTAAAAGCATTAACAGTGCATTATATTTCTAAAATGTAAAGGCCTATGGCTACAGATAGGCTACATATTTAAATATGCACATACTGTGCAGGCAATCCGGGTATTATACTTGCTTCAAGAATAAATGAGAAATCAACAGCAAATACAATATGTCATATTAAGAAACGAATGTCTTCCATCTTTCATTCATATTCATTCAAATCATAATTTCTCTTTTGCTTTAAAAAAAACAAAAAAACAATCAAACAGGAGTCCAAATAGGTTACAATAGACGATAAATAGCCTGGTCAAATTGCCAATGTAATGTCTGATTATTCGAAATCTTTAATTGATAAGAGATAAAGAAAATCACAACTCAATCTTAAGAAATAGTCAACTTAATTATATTAATTTAGCACTTGATAGTGTAGCTAAATATTACAAAAATATAAAAAACAAAAAATATGTAATGTGGTTTCTAGGCCCATTCCCATTTCGCGGGGAGGGAGGTTCATTAACTCTCTCGAACTGATTTTATGGATTTATCAATCAGCTTTTAATTTGAATACGTCTTGTTATTTTTCTCAGATTTTTTTTTTTTACCAAAGATGTTTTTACTCCAAAGATAGGTAGGTAAATTATGATCTACTTCATACAAATAGCTTTAGGGGTCTGGACTGAAAAATTACCTACATTGTGTTGTGACATTCTTTTCACTCTCACTTTGTCAATTACGTCTTTAATTAAATCGCGATCTATTCTATCTAATTCATCACGAATGTGGAAGACACCAGACAGGCCCATGTTGTCTACACCATGTAGCCTACCAAAACGCAGCAGTGCTCATCAAACACGCAAAGAGAAGAACCACATTATTTCTCAATTGGACCTGAGAACTCAACACAATCAACCCAGAGCTTCTATTCTATTCTATTCTATTATATCGAGTTCAGTTCTATTTAGAATAGAAATTCTAACTTGGCCAAATATAAACCAGGCTCTGCATCAACCAACAATTAAAATGCTCAAGTTAGCCTGCTCTCCTACCTGTATAACCCGCATGTTGAGTCCCGTCTCCTGGGCCAACTGTTCCCGAATGTGTCGGGTGGGTTTCGGCGTGGCCACGAAGGCAGCCTTCAGCGTCTCCAGCTGCTTGGCTTTGATGGTGGTCCGTGGGCCTCGCCGCTTCGTGCCCGAATTCTGCTCCTCATTCTCGTTATTGTTCATGTCCTTATCTGAGGACATGGAATTGTCCGTCTCTTTTGTGTCGTCCTGTATCGGGTCCTGGAGGTCCGGCGATAAACTTCTGTCTGTGCATGATGACACTGGGGGACGGGAGAGAATGGAAAGGTCTCAATCGGAGGTGTCATGGGGTCTACTACTAGATTATTGCTGTAGCCTGTCTAATCACAAATAAACCAGAATATGTGGAACAATGACGCCTCACAAAATACAAATATGGAAGCCCTTGTATATATATTTTAAAAATAATAACCTACACTTTGCCAATGTAACCAATATGAAACAGACTAAATGCATGGATTTACCAGTTTAACTCTTCACAAATAAAACAGGTGTAACCAACTCGACCCTGCCCGTGTGTGACATAAGCGGATCGAGATAATGAAAGAGAAATTATGCATGTAATGTGAAACAAAAAAAGGGGCTAGGCTGATCCCCAAGGACCCGCTGCGTCGCACGATAACAGCATGTCATTGTCCGAGGGGAGGGCTGTTTGAGCCATTCATCTGACAGGAATTTATAGCGTTGATAAGCCTGAGCTATGGTCAGATGCATTCAGCGACGCCGAGATGCTTTGTTGGGGAACATCATCAAACGCTAGGCTACACATGCCCTATACACCGCCCATTGCAGCCGCGAGAATGTCAGTATGTTCATATTTGAAGCTACAGACACCCAACGAGGGGTCAAAATCAATGTCACGTCTTTCGAGTATACAAATGTTATTCCTCACCTTGTTGATCTAAAGACAACATCGAATGCCAGTGATGGGAGCCTGAGAACCCCACAAACACAAGCTTTTCTGAAAGTTGTTGACTTTTATACATTTTAGTTCCAAACACCCCAAAGTGTAGGCCTAATCTCTTAACAATATCAAGGCCATGTTGAATAATGACATTTTAGAGATATTTATTTATTAGGCGAGGAAGTGACTTACAGCCGAATTCTCCAAAGGCTACACATTTTGGACCATGTAGGCCTACGACACTGCAGCTAAAATGGGAAAGTAAGCTAGAATATAGAATAGAATCCCACAATTCATATACATCTATTAGACTAGGCTACTTCAGAATGGACGCAGAAGATACCCCAACGAATGCAGAACCAGAGCTGACACGCAGACAGGCACCATGTCCATGGTTCTGAATTACCTGACGGAGGCCTATTGTAGGACTTGATATAGGCCTAGGTTATGGCTCTGGATAAAACAAATTAAGAGGCTTTGTAGCAGAATAGGTTTTCGAAGTCATGCATTTTAGTTTGCAAAAGCATATGTGTATATGTGGTATAGGCCTATCCTATTTTAGGAATCCAACAAATAAAACCCAGCAATAGTTCAAGGCGTTTCTCATCATGCACAAATAGTTTTAATTATCCACCATACCCAGTGTATGAGGATTGGATCCCACGTTGAAACGATCCGTAAATAAATAAAGACAAATTAATCAGTCAACGTAGGTGGCCAAAACAGTCTTCCAAAAAGCAACCCGCATGAAATGATGCTCCGTTGCTTTCAAATATAAATGCAGACTATAATATACAACTTATATTTTTGAGGGAAAAAATAGGCTTATGCTACTCATTCGAAGAAAGAAAGGTCCATTATTTTCAGACAACCCTATAGAATTTTTCCAAAATGAACAGACCATTGATCCTTTCGTATCCATGCACTAGCCTAACATTACTAGACCGTCTAGAATGTCTACTGTAGACGCACTTTTGAAACCCTTAGCTATAATTAGAATACCTGAATTCAAATTGACTTCCTTGATAGCCCCTGAGCTTAGGTAGTCTTCTTTGCACACAAACTTATTTTCGTCGATGACGTAGAGCTCCTCGCCGGTGGACAGCTGCTTGTTGCACACCATGCACGTGAAGCAGTTGAGATGGAACACCTTGCTGCGCGCCTTGCGCACCAGATCGCTGGGAGAGATGCCTTGGAGGCAGCCCGCGCACTTCGTCCCAAACCTCCTGAAAAGAAAGGGAGAGGAGAGAGAAGAGGGGTGTTGGTTGAGAAAATAATACGAATTTGAGATGGACATTTCATTTTCGCAGACGCTCTTATCCAGAGCGACTTACAGTTAGTGCATTATTTTTTCATAGGGCCCCCCGTGGGAATCGAACCCACAACCCTGGCGTTGCAAACGCCATGCTCTACCAACTGAGCTACAAGGGACACTATATTTAACTGTTCTAACTTAATAAAAAGGCATTATTATACATATTGACCAATAGCGAATTTTGCAACTGTGGGCAATGCAGATGTTTTGGAAAGTAACCTGATTTGAAGTTTTTGTTCCCAGAAAATTACGAAATAGCAATGACAAAACACTTACAACAATGACTAAAGATAGTCTATAATAGTAATAATGTATTGTTTTTCTTTTAACCATTTGTTTTATTGTATTTCATATTTGCCATGATTGAAGAAGGGGTAGGCTATTTCGAAATCATTTTCGTTAAAATCTAACAGACTACTCTTGATACATAATATAGCCTAAAATGTAGTACCTGCGCTAGACTGATTTTCAACCTTGGAGAGAAATAACATCATTATTGTTTTAACAATAAACCCACGCAGAACGTATTAGTGACAATCAGCACATTGTAACTGCAGAGATATTCGAGGATTAAACGGACTAGGAACATTTTAGCGTGAAATCTCCTGTTAATCCACATTCACCCTCTTCACATGCAAAAAGCATGGTGGATATACTTGTATTATTTAGATAGACAGGCGAGTATATAATAGCCTAACTCAACGTCTCATCGTTTCCAGGGATAAGTCGACAAGGTAAATCAGTTGAAAATGCAAGTGTTTCACTGGAAGAAAATGTGTGCTACATATAGTGATGGGGAATGGGAAGCCTTATTATGTGTTTCTCCCACCATGCATTGTACTTTAGTGTTTCCCTCTCCAATGTGAAATAAATAGGCCTAATCCACCTCATCACGAGCCAGAAACCTCATCACGCGCCTCTCATGGTGATTTTGTAATCTCTCTCATCAACATGGCGTAGCCTCAGGGTGAAACAAATACAGGAATTGAAAATATTTCAATTATAATACGATTATTGGAGGGAGTGTGTGTGGGGGGTGGGTGTGGGGGGTGTCGAGGAAAGCCCCCTTTATTTTTACAGAATCAATCTCTCTCTTTCTCTGTCTCTCTCTCCAGCCATTTGCAATAGTATCGCTCCATTGTACCCTTTCACATGCACGGCTCGGCGAGACCACCACACTACTTACACAACAAATAGCCACATTAGGGTGATTACTGTTTCGCCTGGCTAATTGTTCGGCCATTTAAATCCACCGATGGAAGCCGGCTAATATGATGGTCAAGGCCGTTTGAGGCCAACATTGCCATCACAAAGGCTTAAATACTGGGCCTCACATGTCATTAAACAATTTGTAGGGGAAGGGGAAAAAAGATGACACATAACTAATTGGTATGATGCTATGAGAGTGCGCGGACACAAACAGGGGCCTACACTTATCACTGAATTACCACTTTGAAGAGCTGAGCGGCTGGTGTAGGCCTAATGGTTAGGTTTTCAAATCTATTGCAACAAACAATAGTGGAAACAGAGAGTACAGGTGAGACGAAAAATTTATCTGATTTATAAATAGATTTAAACTGCCTCCATGTGCATGAATGGATAAAGAGTGAATATTCAAGCCCACATAATATTCAGAATATTCAACCCCACCAATAATATGAATTTATAAATAAAAGTGATATTATTTGTCATAATAAATATTAGGAATTAAGGTTATGATTCGTATTACATTTACATTTTAGTCATTTAGCAGACGTTCTTATCCAGAGCGACTTACAGTTAGTGAGTGCATACATGATTATAAATTTTTTCAGAAATCACACTTTGTGTCTAAAAAACACACTCTTCATGTAAAACTCAAGCGGACAAAGAGTGATAACGTGGACATCTCAGGCTATGATTAAATAGTTCTGTCAAAATGCTAAATATATTTGTGATATTCAGAGCTCTAGAATTAACTTATAACTGAAATTATATTCATTTATATAGGCCTAATAATGATATGATTTTAGTTGCGAAGCCAATGTGGTTACAATATAATTTCTGTAAGGCTTGAAATGTAATAATTGAAGTGACATTTTAAAACAATTCAAATAACTGATAGGTTATCTCACCTATAGGTGAATTATAGGCTATAATGTGAACTAGGCCATGGTGAACCATATCCATTTCCACAAAACAATGTGTAGACCTACAGAATAATATCATTATGGTTATTTTATTCTGTGAGTGACGCTAAAACGAGAGCTATTTTGATCATTGTGTGACATTAAATCAATTTCAGCATTTTAAGACACTTACTAACAAAAAACAGACAAACAAATCTTCAGAAGCAGCAGGGTTATAATTCTCCCTGGTGAGTTCACTGAGTTTTTGGCAAACCTGCTTTTACGCATGAATCCCCAATCTGAATCCTTACCTGAAAAAGTCAATTTTACAATAGAGCTTCCCATCCCGCGAGAAGCACTTCTCGGTCAGGTTACAGTGGCACTCGCAGCATTGGACGCACTTGGCGTGCCAGGCTCGGTCCAACACGTTGAGCAGGAACCGGTCCAGGATGGGCCTGTCGCACCCCGCGCAGTGGACCATCATCCCACCGGTCTGGAGGACAACGAGGGCCGACCTTCCCACGCGGACTCCGGTGCTGGGTCTGGGGCCACGCGGCTCTCCGCGCAGCAACGTCTTGGCTCCGGGGTTGGGGACAAAGCAGGCGCGAATGTTCTGTCAGGTGGGTGGATGGGTGGTGAGAAGCCCCTCTCCCCTACCGTTTAAAGGCAGGCTATAGGCGAACACTCCCCGAAGTTCCTCTACTGTACTCCTGGTTCTGGACGCCCCTGTCCTGTTCTGTCCTGGCACTTGTCACAATCCAGAATCCAGAAGATAAAAATATGAATTAAAAAATCACCTATAGTCCTCTTCTTCATTTACGGGCTGCGTAAAAATTGAAAGCCTGTTCGTCCCCGCTGTAGAGAATATGTTACACGGGCTGTAGCTTATTATTATTTTGTTGTTGTTGTCATCTTTTGTTATTAGGTTCCACTTCTTCGCCTCCGCTCACCTCACGTCGACACTTTTCGCATCACTGTGCCCGGCTGTGCCGGAGAGAGGCGCATCCGTATTCAGATTGGGTGACGCTCTCATTAATTCCCGTGCCTGGGTGGCCAATCAGGACTCAAGTTGTCATGGTTAACCCTTTAAATAATGGTCGGTAACCTACCTTCATGTCGACCCAAAACATAAACCATGCTCGCAGAAATAAGCGAATAAACTAACTTTGCGGAGAGGGACACGATATTTTGGCAAAAATATCACTCACTGGTCACATTCGTTTTGGTACTACCTTGTTACAGAATGGACCTAAACGGTGTAAATAGGTCTACAATCTGCCATTTTCTATTTGCCAGCTGTAGCTCTACTATCAAGCTCTTGGGGTGAATTGATTTTAGGGACTATCCCCATCCGACGCTTCAAGAAATGGAGCACCAGCAGACGAATTATATAGGCTAAACTAGCTGGGCCCTATAAAAAACCAAACATGCCTTTTGTCTAATATCACCAATCAACAAGATCTTTCTCTGTGACAATTGGGCCAATTAAGACATGTTTTATAGGGGAAATTATAGTTTTGATTGGTTTAATTGAATCCTCACAAATTGAAAGCTAAATTAAGCTTCTAAAGACACCAAGGCACAAAACAAAAACCTGCGGACCATCTTCCATTTTCTTTCTTCTTTTCACCTCTTCTTCGTCTTCGGTCTTTGACAAGATGACCTAGTGGAGTTGATGCCTAATAGCCAACACCTTTCTAAAGCGGCCTACAAAGTGAGGGGGCCGTCTTTACATGACATGATACCCGCCTTAAATGACCCTGAATGGGATGCGGTGGGAGTAGCTGAACAAGAGCTAATGCTACAAAACCCTCCCTGCATTATCATCTGTCTCTCTCTCTGTGTGTGTGGAGTGGAGGGGACGGGAGGGGAGGGGGACCTATGCAGGCCCTTTCTTATGCAGAAAGCTATTTACAGGGAAATGCACAGGATTAAGATAGCGGGGCCTCATCAATAGGGAGAGCCGGGTCACCCGCCGCTTTAACAGAGTAGCCACCAATCGAAGGGAATTTCAATATTTACCCAGATCATCATTTAGTTAGTTATAGCAGTGCAAACATCATGCAGACGCTAATGGTTGTTAGTGGAAATGCGAGGCTGGTTTAAAACTACGTTTGAGCAGTTGTAGTATAGGCCTATAATGAGCTGGTTAAGCAGGTGTTAATTTGGACCCATTACACATTCTCATTTAAGATAACGTTTTAATCAGAACAACCTCATCAACAACATGGATTGACAACTTTATAATTTCATAATAACAGCATTTAAATTGCACATTGTCGCTGTAGGCCTACATAAATAACTAATCAAATCAAATCAAATGTCATTTGTCACATGCACCGAATAAAACAGGTTCACCTTACAGTGAAATGCTTACTTACAATCCCTTAACCAACAATGCAGTTTTAAGAAAGAATACCAAAAACAATCACACAAAAAAATACAATATAAAATAATACGAAATAAAAGTAACAAATAATTAGAACTCATCTGAAGCAATTATTAGAATTAAGGTCAATTGAACAATTATTCAAAGAAAAGTATTGTTTATGATAAATGTGTAAATAGCCTGCTTTATGGCAAAAAGCTGACAATATTTCAGGTTTTACGTGGAACAAATGACTGTCATTATATTTGTATGAGTTTGAATGAGTTTTATAGGCCTATCAATATTATTCTAATTTATTATTCTGTTTTATGAATTATGCATTATTATGTATTGTTATTATTATTGTTATTCATATTATGTCCTCCTCCTTACCATATTTCACCACCACCACCACCACCATCATCATCCTCTTAATCAATGTTTTCAACCAAAAGCATAGGCCTAGTGCACTGATAAGGCCTATAGCATATGACCTAACCTTACATAGAGCCAAGTGAAGTTGTAGCGCGTGCATGCATGCATCAATTTTGGAGCAGTATGATTATCCATCCATATCCATCCGTAGATTGTAGAATGTGAAATGTTTTCTGTGGTGCGGGTTGGTATTAAGTGGTGACTCTACATGATAATAAAGCAGCAATTTATGTAGCCGAGGGAGGCCGTTCAGCTTGTTGGGAGAGAAAGGGGGAGAGCCCGGGCCACCGAGGGGACCCCCGCCGCTCTTGGCAGGCGAAAGTGGCAGCAAAGCTTGGCCTCGCTCACGGTCTTAATCCCAAAGCTATCGGGGCTTGCTATTTATTTTTCTCACAAAATTGTATTTTCTTGACTCTCCGTTTAAGAACTCCTAAACATTTCTGTTCGAATGTTGTTAGCACCAATGAACGTAGACATATAGGCTACTCCCCGTCAGCAAAAAGTAAATAAGGCGCGAAATAGACGACATACGCACTTGGTGTAGCCTACTAATTTACATATCTGAAACTGTTAAATTAATTGCTCAAATTCAACCTGCCAACTGTTGATGAGTAGTCAACGTGGGTTTGTAGCCTATCATACCTGCCTGCCTCATATTTTCCTTTAGGCCTTTGATGATAGCCTATTTTTAATACAACCAGGTAGCATTCACGTAGACTATGATAAGGGTGTGAGTAGAGAGTCGTATAGGCCTTTCCAAATAATGATACAAACGGTGCTTTTAGAGAATATAATCTATTTAGGGGACAAAGCGTTATCACCCTGTACGTGGGAAGAGAACATGTTGGGTAAAGAGAGCTCTTGCCACAGCTTCTCGCCTCTTGTTTGAGTCACACATTTCATTGTATAGGGATACATTTAATTGGGTAGCTGTGTTCTCTCGTTTATCCCATCACCTATACCGTTCTCTCTCTCTCGAGCTCTCTCCCCTGCAAGCCAAACAGTCCAGCGCCGTGCCTAGCAGAGCCACACTGTGCGGGATGCACCTGCTACTAGGAACTCCTGGAGAGAGCGGAAGTGACCAAGGTGCTGAAACTAGACAACTAGCCGCAGGGGCCGGGTTTTTATTTCATCTTTGCTATTGCTAGCCTAATTGAATATACAGATGTAGGATCTTAATTTGATCACTCCTTTGTTGCTGGGAATGTACCTGCAACGCAGGTAATGCAAACTTGTAGTTTATTCAAAGTTTAAAATGGCTTCTAAAGTTTGTAATTTCCACTTTAAAATGTCAGACTTGATTTGCCCTAACGAAAAATATCAACCCCTACAAAAAATGTCAGTTTATTATAATACACATAATAATTCACATTTCCTGTTGCTGCAGGATTATGTTCCTGCTGTAGCAAACTGGCTCAAATCCTATATCTATATGTACATTAGAAAGCTCCCATGCAACAGAGAAACAACACACATTGCAGACATTATACAGGAAGAAGTCTGTTTATTAAGCCATAAAGCTACTATTTGAAACCCTGTGGTCTTATAAATGGGGGTTGTGGTTCAAAGCCTACACTCTAAGTTAATGTGGCCATGGACACGCGTGCCTTCCGATTTCTTGTTCAGCATAGTACTGTTCTAAAAATAGTAGGCTACGCGTTGATTCTGAATAGGCCTGTATATATAGTCAAACTGTTTGTTTTCACCATCAATCAACAACGCATTGGCATGCACAAGATTATTTTATGACAATTTGCAGAATATCAACAAGCGATTAGGTGTGGTAATGACTTGACAGAAATAAACAACTTATGGGCGTGCTCTGTCATTATGTTCTTCTATTATGATTGTCCAGGTGTGGTATGATGATTGATGGGCTGTATATCTTGTGCAACACCAACACATTCCTACAAATCTGGTGAGGCGTCATACTCTGAATCTGGTGAGGCGTCATGCACCAATATTTCTTGAAGAGGCGCTGATGGCCAAATCAAATGCAATAGGCTATCTTTCCATGATAAATTCTGAGTAAAATAAACTGTATCTTTAAAAAACAAAAGCATTGGATGTGAGAGATGAACAATTTAACTGTCAGCTACTCACTGGACTACACAATGGGAACAAAACTATAGAAACATTTAACATTTTGTCCCTAATACCAATGTATTTACAGGACAGGTGGTGTTACACAGTACAACAAAACAAAATACTGCACACACACAAGCATATAAATACACACGCACACACACACACACACAGCTTTGTTTTTGTGAATTTTCAGGACTTTATGGGGAGTAAAAAAGTATTCCCATTCAAAATCCTATTTTCCCTTAACCGTAACCTTAACCCCTTACTCAACCCTAACTCCTAAGCTTAACACCAAACCCTAAACCTAACCCTTAAGCCTAAAATAGCATTTGAAAAAAATCAGGACATGAAAAAGGTCCTGACTTTTTAAAAAAATATTGTTTTGCTACCTTGTCAGGACATTCTGGAGACTTGTCAGGACATTGTGATTGTGGTCCTGATAATGTAGGAAAACATGTACAAACACACACACACACACACACACAAACCTTTCAAGGACTTTATTTCTCCAGCTGCAGCCTCCCATCCAGGGCAGTTTGAGCAGCCGTCCCTTTTGTCCACGGTGGCCTTAGTCATACACAACACACAACCCAAGCTCTACTCTGTGTCTGTGTCCGCTCTCCTCTGTTGTGTTGTGTTGTAAGGAGCTGGAGGGAAAATGGCATCTCTTTCAGACCCACTCTGACCTCTCTAGCCTTCATCCTTCAGCCCTACGTCTGTAG